CTGCCTCCCAAGTGCTGGGATTAAAGGTGTGCGCCACCACACCTGGCTTTAGTGTACATTTTTAAAAAAATATTTTATTTTTTTCATGTGTATGAGTGTTAATGCCTGCATGAAGTAAGTGCACCCGTGTCATGCAGTGCCCGTGGAGAACAGAAGAGGCTGTTGGATCCCCTGGAACTGAAGTTACGGACAGTTGTTAGCTGCCATGTGGGGGCTGGGATTTGAACCCAAATCTTCTGCAAGAACAGTCAGTGTTCTTAACTGCTGAGCCATCTCTCCCGCCCCTAGTGTATATTTTAAATAAAGATTAGGCAATATTTTTAAAATTTTTTATTTAAGGTTTTTTTTTTTTTGTGTGTGTGTGTGTGTATGTGGTTTTTTTCTTTTTTGGTCTTTGTTGAGACAGGGTCTCCCTGTAGCCCCAGCTGGCCTGGAACTCACTATGTAAACTAGGCTGGCCTCGAACTCACAGAGATCCACCTGCCTCTGCCTCCCAAGTGGTGGGATTAAAAGAGTGTACCACCACGCTCATCTTTATTTTTTGTATGTGTATGAGTGTATTGTATGTAAGCACACCCAAGTCATGCAATACCCAAGGAGGTCAAAAGAAGGAACTGGAGGTACAGCTGTTAGGTGCCACGTGGGTGCTGGGAATCAAACCAGGTCCTCTAGAAGAACAGTCAGTGCTCTTAACTGCCAAGCCATCTCTCCAGCCCATCTTTATATTTTTTAATTACATATATTAGATGTGTTTGATAAACCTGTTTTGCTCAAGTGCAAACTTTATTGTTTTGTTTTCAAAATTGGGAGAGGCATGTAATCCCAAGACTTTGGAGACCAAGGAAGGTGGATTTTAAGTTTAAGGCCAGCCTAGCCTATGGAGAGCCCTGTCTAAATACAAATAAATTCTTGCATGTCTACAGAGATCCCTGGAACTAATTAAACCCTGATCTCTAATTAAACCCTGGGAATATTATCTTTTTTTTTTGAGACAGGGTCTCCCTGTAGCTCCAGATGACCTGGAACTCACTATGTAGACCACGGCCTTGGACTCAGAGATCCACCTGCCTCTGCCTCCCAAGTGCTGGGATTAAAGGCATGTGCCACCACAACCAGCAGAATATTTTTTTATATTATTTTTAAAAATATTTTTTTATGTATATGAGTGTGTTGCCTGCATGTGAGTGTACCCATGTTGTGCAATGCTGCAGAGGTCAGAAGAGGGCTTCAGATTCCCCTGGAACTGGAGTTAAGAACAGTTTGTAGCTGCCATGTGGGTACTGGGAATCAAACCCTGGTCCTCTGAAAGAGCAGTCAGTGCTCTTAACCACTGAGCCATCATCTTTATAATGTCTCCTTCCCTGGACTTACTGAACGAAGTATGATTGATAACATTATGCATATTTAAGGTGCACAATGTAATGCATATATATGCATGTATATATGTATGTGTATATATATACATATATGATTACTACAATGAACCAACATATCACAGAGTTACCTTTCTTTTGTGGCAAGAACATTTTAGATCTATTAGCAAATTTCAAGTATACATTATCAAATATTGTTAGCATGCTGTATATTAGGTCTTTAGGACATACTCATCTTCTAACAGAAAATCTGTACCCTTTCACCATCTCCCCATTTCCTGCTGGAATGTTCATTTGACAGATAAAGTTTTGTGTGCCCAGAGCAATCGATGTTGAACTGGCTCATCAGAATAGATTTTTACAAACAATAAGAATGATGGTGTGCATCCTACTTCATTGTTGAGGAGTTCCTGATTTCAGTTAACCATATATGGATGGTCAATGTGATGGTTAATCTTCCTTTTCAATGTGACTGGATTTGGAATCACCTAGGAGACACCCCCGAGTATGTCTGTGAGGGTGTTTTCAGAGAGGTTTAATAAAGGAGTAATGGGGCTGGAGAGATGGCTCAGCAGTTGAGTACTGGCTGTTCTTGCAGAAGACCCAAGTTTAATTTCCAGCACCCACATGGCAGCTAACAACCATTTGTAACTCCAGTTCCAGGGACTCTGACCTCTGTGGACTTTACCTGACACAGGTGCACTTACATACATGCAGGCAATACATTCGTACACACAAAATAAAAATAATACTCACCTGGTGTGGTGGTGCATGCCTTTAGTCCCAGCATTCAGGAAGCAGAGGCAGGTAGATCTCTGAGTTCAAAGCCAGTCTGGTCTACATAGTGAGTTCCAGGCTAGCTGGGGCTATACTGTCTCAAAAAATACCAAAAATAATAAAATACTTTTTAAATAACAAATAAAGGAGTAAAGACCCATCCTGAATGTCCATGGACTGGGGTCTCAGACTTCAACAGACAGGTAAAAAGGAGGCAGCAAGCTAAGCAGCAGCATTTGTCTGTCTCTGCTCCTTAACTGTACACATGATATGACAGCTGTCTCATGCTCCTGCTGGTATGGCTAGAGCCACTTTCACTACCAGGCCAAAGCTGTCATGATGGACGGAGTCTTCAAAGTATGAACCAAAATAAACACTTCCTTTCTGAAGCTGCTTATGTTAGGTAATAGTCATAGCAGTAACTGATACACTTATGTAGCCAGAATAGTTTCTGGCATGTTCAACTTCATATATATATATTTAACCACTTGTTATTTTATTAAGCTTTGAACTCCTTTTGCCAAGTCATAAATCATTATTAAACCTGTGTTATTTAGTAGCAATTTGGTGTTAATTTTTAAAAACTATTTTGTTTTCTCTTAGAAGATGAGGTTTGTTGTTCTCCAGGATGTGGGTCTGTTGCTCAAGCTGGTCTCAAACTCTTGGTTCGAGTGGTTTTTTTTTTTTTTTTTTTTTTTTTTTTTTTTTTGGTCTTTTTGAGACAGGGTCTCCCTGTAGCCCCAGCTGTCCTGGAACTCGCTATGTAGACCAGGCTGGCCTTGAACTCACAGAAATATGCCTGCAGTGGCATATGCCACTGCACCCGGCTCGAGTGATCTTTCATCTCAACCTTCTAAGTAGCTGGTACTGCAGGATGCACCATTGTGCTGTCCTGTGCTACATCTTTAACTTGCTTACTGGAGTTTTCTTTCTTCAAAAGATATTCTGATCATGAAAAATGCTTTAGTAAACTCTTCCTTTGTAGGTGGCACTTAGCATGTGAGTGACATTGCAGAGCTGTCATCACCCAGGTGGTCATATTTATCCTGCACCTCAATATCATCTTCATACAGCTCCCGAGCACCACCAGCACAGCTTATATCACACTGAACTACTGGATCAACTTTGGGCTGTGAGCATTCCTGCAGAGCTGTGGCAGGCTTCTTCTAGATCCCTCTACAGGTGGTTTCTGATTCCTCCTTTCCCTTCATTTTGGAAGCCACAGAGATGTTCCCATGTGTGACAGTGTTGGGGAGACTTGCGGCTTATCACCTAGCCAACTCTTTGTGAAGAATCAGACGGCCCTGCTTGCTGATTTCATGAAAACAGCCTATCATACACATCATCATCTTCAGCATCCCCTTCCATTTTACCATCTTCTAAATCCTTGGGACACAAAATACCAAACCTAGCATCTCTCCAACATATAGATCACCTTTTCTTTTGGAAAGATGGCAAAGGCTTCAGGTTCCCTGTCTACTTTAGGCTCCAAATCAGAACTAGAAAGCACACATCCTGTCCAGTGTTGTTTCTTGGTCACCCTGGAATCAAACTAGAGTGCTTTATCAACTTTACTGTCGTGGGCCAGCTGGGTGGGAAAGAATCAGTGGCTCCCTGGGAAGCCTGTCTCACTGAGCTTCTTCTGAGCTAGGGATGGCAACCTTGAGCCTTCCCCAGCCATGCTAGATGACAGCTGCCTCAGTGGTAGAAACTGGCTCACACTGGTAGACTTGCACACTTCTGGCCTCACAGTATTCTGGTTTTTAACCAACTGAATCTCAGGTATCACCTTCTGTGGAGGTGGCAGGAAATGAGGAACAGACCCATAGCCATTCCTTTTTAAAAAAATATTTTATGTGTATGAGTGTATTGCCTGCATGTGTGTAAGTGCACCCGTGCCATGCAATGCCTGCAGAGGTCAGAGGTGTCGGATTCCCCTGGAACTGAAGTTACAGATGGTTGTTAGCCACCATGTGGGTGCTGGGAATTGAACCCGGGTCCTCTGCAAGAGCAGTGAGTGCTCTTAACCACTGAGCCATCTCTCCAGCCCTGTCATTCCTTTCTTTACCCAAGTTGATCTCCACACTAGCACTTGGCTTCATGGTATCTTTGGCTCCTAGAGCCTCATTATACTGCTCCCTCAGAAGCCTAGCTCTAGGCTCATCTATGTCATAGTCACCTTTTAAAGGGTTATACAGTGCACCTCTGCCTTCATAGTCTCAGGGAATAGTTGCTCAGGGAATGCAGTACCCCATCCACTCTCACTTCCCCTCTTTCTAAGGCACCATTAAACAAACTGTGAGTAGGAGGTCTCATTCCTTGGATCTGCATCAACTGAGCCAAAGATGAAGCCCATTCATCTTTCCTGGGAATGTTTTCAAGCTCAACAGCAGGAGCAAGGGTAGTGGCTCTACCATATGAGGTCCAGCCAGCAGCTTGTGAGGGAAAGTCTTGATCTGTGCATGTGTTTTCACCCTGCTCAAGAGTTTGAATTGCTTTCACTTCCTTCACTAGTGATGGCTTTGTGCAGGTGGATGGGATTTTGGAATTGGAGGCCAGTGGCTTGGTATGATAGGCAAGGGAGATGGCTTCATTACAAATGGGGGAGGCGTATTTTGTACCTAAGAACATGGAAAAGATGGACTTCCATGGCTGAAAATCATTTCCAGAAAACCAGGATTCTGGAATTGGGGGCCTGATGGTGCTGGCTCAGTGTAAGTCGGTCTGATGCTGTTGGGGAAGTATCAGTTCATTTTGGAAGATGAACTTATTATCCAGTCTGGCTAGTTGCTCAGGAATGAGGAGACCTGGAGCACTTCTGCTTCAACTTCATATATTAAGAGAAAAAATTCCATATCCTTGATGTTTGCTTCCTTTGCTAGAGAATTTTCACAGGTTCCTGTAGTTTGCTGCTAGAAAGATGGTGTTCTATGTGACCCAGGGAAGGAAAAGATTTAGAAGACTGACTTCCCAGTGCATATATTTGTCCTACTGCTCACAGTACTTTTTACTGGAATAAGTCTTAGCCTTATGACCTTCAGATTTACATCAGCTATACATCAGAAAGTATACCATTCCAGCTGGCCTGGAACTTGCTTTGTAGACCAGGCTGACCTTGAACTCACAAGAGATCTGCCTGCCTCTGCCTCCCAAGTGCTGGGATCAAAGGCATGTGCTACCATGCCTGGCCCAGACATAATTTTTATCTCTAGAATTTTCATTAGTTTTACATTTTTGTAGGGCACAGGTGAAGTTACACTGGGGCTACGGAATAGCAGAAATAATGGAAAACCTTTTGGTGCCTAGGAATGAGAAAAGGCCAACTTGATGTCCTGGATACCCAAGACAAGGTGTAGAGTCAAGACCATAGCTGGCCTTCAGAGAAGGTAGAAAGTCTATTCTGGAGAATCAGTCCTCCCAAGACTGGAATTTTCAAATGACAGAGACCTCCCTGGTCCCCAGCATAGATCCAACACAGAGACAAATTCACTGCCATGCACAGCCTGGGACCTTGAGGGGGGTTGTGGGGAGTGTGGCCACTCAGAGAAGGTTCAAACTGCTGCCCAACATCAGGAAGTCCTCCGTCCTCCACTCTGCTCTACCATCAGCCTACCACCAGAGGAATGTGGAACCATGGCTCACAGTTGGGGATCACAGCTCCAGGTTCATGTGAGGGGCCCACAGCTCCAATCTCACTGGTGTGTGTGTGGACCACAGCTCCAGCTCAGCTTTAATTTCTTAAAAGATATTTTTTATTTTGGTTTTTTTGAGACAGGGTCTCCCTGTAGCTCCAGGTGCCTGGAACTCACTCTGTAGACCAGGCTGGCCTCAAACTCAGTGGATCTGCCTGCCTCTGCCTCCCCAGTGCTGGGATTAAAGGCGTGTGCCACCATGCCTGGCAAGATTTTAATGTGTATGCATGTTTGCCCCCATATATGTAAGTGCACCTATGTGTGCAATGCCTGCAGAGGCTGGAAGAGGGAGTCAGTGCTCTTAACTGCTGAGCCATCTCTCTAGCCCCCAGAAATTATTTGTTGGTGTAAACTCTATATTGTTTTATCTAAAAATATATTGAACCAGATAACTTGGTTTAAATTCTGGTTTCACCACTTTGTAGTCATGTGACCTATTTGTACTTTAACCTCTGGAATCATTGGTTTGTTCCTCTGTAACACTGGAAAATTCTTGGGCACTTTCATACTCTGTTGAGAGAAATATGTCTGGGAGGGAGGGGTGCAAGAAACTCCCAAGGAAGAGATGAGTTCTAAGAGTAGCAGGATTCAAAATAAAGTGGAATAAAGAGTATTCAGCAATGACAATGCCTAAATGTTTGGTAACCACAGGGAAGGCAAAAAATGTTGGGGGTAAAAAAAAACAACCCCCAAACAGCTAGCCTTGCCCCATGTGGCCAGGGCCCTTTCATCCAAGTCCATCACATAAAGCAGAAGTGCTGCCAGCATGTCTGACAAACTGCCCTACAAAATTAGACAGTAACCTGGCTGCCTGGGGAAGAAAGGACCTGGACATTGCAGGGAAAGAAACGCCAGGTCTGATTCGCATGCGGGAGATGTACTCAGCTGTCAAGCTACTGAAGGGAGCTGGAATTACTGGCTGCCTCAGCATGACTGTGGCAACCACTGTCCTCATTGATACTCTTGTATGGAATTTAAAATAAGCATTGTTGGACTTTAAAGATTGCTCAGTGGTTAAGAGCACTGGCTGCTCTTGCAGAGGACCCAGCTTCAGTTCCCAGCACCCACATGGCAGCTAACAACCAACTGTAATTCCAGTTTCAGGGATTGAACACCATTTTTCAGGCCTCTACAGGCACATGGTACACATATATACCTGCCAGCAAAACACTCACACAAAATTGAAATATTTTTCCAAAATTATATTGCCTGACTAAATCTAAAGTAACTTTCAATTATATTGGTTTTCATGTATCTATGTAAATTTGATAAGCTAATTTTTTATTAGTTGACTATTGGACTAAGAACTTTCTGAGATATAACATTCAAAATACTGAGGTGGTAGTAAAAATAGTAAATATCTATTTTCTACAGAATACAGAGACTAAATAACTTACTCCAAACCTTTCATTTAATAGTGTTTATTTTTTGCAGTACAAGGATTTGAACCCTGGACCTTGTGCCTGCTAGGCAAGTGCTTTGTTTTGAAAGACTG